GAATACGACCTCAATTTCCTATTTTGGTTTCATATAATTAATTTTACAGAAAAATTCCTCATTAAATAAAAGAGGTCGATCACTTCCGTAAAGGAGTCTATAACCATTTTCCCATTTTAACAAAATCTTTTCTGTTTCAAAACAAGAATCTCCATTATCTGAGGTCATCTCCATTGGAATTAATTAACTTTTCTGAGGTCCTAGTTTATTAATTACTTTCCAGAATAGTTTAGATTTTGACTGCAAACTCTCTAACATGTTGAACCAGGTAAAACTGACAGAGTTTGCAATCACAAGTGAACAAACAAACAAAACAAACAAACAAATAAAATAAACCCTGAGAGGTGAGTTTGAGGTTTGGGGTGAGGTGAGTTTTGCTTTTAGCTGAGGATTTAACTAAGGGGGTCCTAGTTAAATTAGGGAGAAAAATCGTTTAGTTTACCAAATCTCATACAAAGATAAGAATCACATTAGTCTGAGCACCTGTTTGTCACCAGGACAAATGTTCACTTTTACCCTTTTGCTCCGCCGTGTGGGTACCAGGATGGGAAGTCAGTGATTGAAGGTCATCTCTGGGGTCGTCTCCCAGGTAGACTCTCCATGCAACCTGGATATCAGGTGGTCTGCCTGTAAAACTTGACTGGTCCCATGGTCAAAGAAGGGGGTCACTCCCTGGTAACTCGTGGTCCGGTCCTCCCAGGTGGCTGCAAGACTTCTTAATTTGATTTCAACTTTGTAGAGAAAACGACTCATGAATTACAATTAGCTTATTTAACTTCTATAAAATCAAACTCAGATGTTGAGTCGATATTAAACGTTGGCTGTTCGTTCAACCCAGTGGGAGATGCAGAAGGACCACCATCCTGCCCAGCCCATGRGGAGGGGCTGGCAGGCAGGGTCTCTGCTGAGCTTCTGGAAAACTGTTTCTGACTTCTGATGTTGAAAAACTCTTTTTCTCTGTCTTCTTCCTTCTGAAGTTTCTAAGGATTAAATCATGGAATAAAACACACACCTTCTTCAGGAAAACATTTCATCAAAACAATTAGCACCACACACTGCTATTGAATAGTTAACTAAGCAAAACTTAGGTCTTTTATGGTTTTTTTTTGTTCTGTAAGAAAAATGGATTAGATGACATTCTTTGCAATAAGACAGAAAACATTAGATACACAGATTCCTTTTATCGTTTCTCCTTTTTTTCACTTTTAATGAAGAATGTAGGTCCTTTGTTCACAGTCACTGAAGAGTCTGGTTAAAGGCATTTATGATCCCTTTGAAGAGGAACCAACAGTCTTGTGCTTATGGGGATGGAAGCAACAGAACTTGTGGGGTTCGGAACAGGAATGTGGYAATTCTTATTAACAGTAAGGCGTCAGGAAGTCTGGTGGGGGTTTGTGTAAGAGATGTTAATTCAAGCCACAAAGGAAGCTCCATGCAGAAGTCTTTAGAAATCGTCTGAAGTTAAAGTGGGGGTTTTCTTCCTCTTTGAGCCGATGTCATAGGAACAAGTGAAATCTAATCAGAAATGATGATTTATATGCAGGAAAATGCTACACCATGACTCATTTCAATAAGATGATGTCAGCAGATGTGGTTAATTTTCTGTTTTGTTTTTAATATTTGACCAGTCTGTGACGTCTCTCCACCCGTGTAGTTTTTGATGTAGAAGACAGCAGTGAGTTGGTTGCAGGAAGGTTTTGTAGACAACAAGTGAAACTTGAAATGTTAGGTTGGTAAAATCCTTCTACTGTAGAAAAACTATTTATTTTCACAGACAAGTCCTTGTTTTTGTAACGGTCAGAGTTACTGGTTATCATCCTCAGGGAGGAGAATTGTGTTTTTGTAATTATTTCACTCAAGTCAGARTAATGTTTTAGATTTTTATAAATGTCAGCAGTAATAATAATATTTGAAGGCATCTCTGAATCATTTCAGTTTTCCTCCGGTCTTTTTGTGTGGTGTTCRTCTGCTTTCTTCTCATTGGAGATCTTTCTGTCTTGATAGATTTACGACAGAACCATTTGTCATCAGTCCTGATCCCTCCATGTATCAAGTACACATGTGCTTCAAAATATCTGTGTCTTTGAATTTAAAGAAAGGGCAATCAAGTATTCAAGAGCAGAGGTTCTCAAACTGGGGTCCCAGGACCCCCCAAGGGTCTGCGAGAGGTATCTTGGGGGGCCTCAAAAATTTTTACCAAAATGTTAATTTGGTTTTTATTTTTAAAAATGCATGGAGATGACAATAMATTATCTTTTAAAACAGACTTTGGTTAATGAGGGGGTCCCTGGAATTTGTTTTGCCCTTGCAAGGGGTCCCCAGACCAAAATGACTTGAGAACCCCTGTTCTAGAACCCTCAGCTCACATGACTCATCCCTCTGTGTCGTTAGCACAAGCAAACATTTAGTTTGTGATGAAGTCAGGCCTTAGTTTTGGTTTAGATCTCCAGTGGTGGATCAAAGAGTCCTGAGAAGCAGTAAAGTCTTCAGGGGCCTCAGGCAGAAAGGACTGTGCAGCTTTCACACTAAAAGCTGACAGACGGACAAATTTATAAAAGTGCACCGCACCAAAATATTCAGATGTATAAAACCGTGCACATGCAGGTTCCTGCTCACCTTTCCTTTATACATCCTAATGAAGGTGGAGCTGAGACACCTGAGACTCCTCCCCCTGACACGCCTCCATTTAAACCTGTAAAACATGTAAATGTGTCCAGAGTGTGAGATTCTCCTCAGAYTGTCTCTCTGTGGGATCAGACATGAGTTTACATGCAGGAAAATTATACATTAAATGGAGAATGAGTTAGAAAACTGTCTGAATAAGTAGTGCAGTGTAAAAATGAGTTTGCCACACTCAAAGGTGTGTGGGTGTTGGTGTGCGCGCGCGTGTGCTGCTGTCTTCAGCAGCGCATAACATTTCCACCTTTACACGTCTTTAATAAATGACTGTAAACACAGAGGAACTGATGAGTTTGGTAGAACATAGAAAAATATTTATTAAATAGTTGAAGTGAAGGAACGAGTCGCGGTGCCGCAAGTTTCTGCCTCGGTGTCATTTATATTTTAGAATCATTAAGTCTTTCATTCAGATCTGCTGCATGGCTCGACTCAGAACTACAGTAAAATACCTGATTGTAATTTGTTAGGTGTGACAAAAACTAACTAACTAGCTAACTAAACAAACAAACAAACAAACAAACAA